TGCTGCAGCATATGGGCGCCTGGCAAACCTGAGAACAGCATTCGACACCTTAGTAAGGAATCATTCAAGACACTGTACACCGTGTATGTCAGGCCCATACTGGAGTATGCAGCACCTGTTTGGAACCCGCACTTGATAAAGCACGTCAAGAACTAGAGAAAGTACAAAGGTTTGCAACAAGGTTAGTTCCAGAGCTAAGGGGAATGTCCTATGAAGAAAGATTAAGGGAAATCGGCCTGACGACACTGGAGGACAGGAGGGTCAGGGGAGACATGATAACGACATATAAAATACTGCGTGGAATAGACAAGGTGGACAAGGACAGGATGTTCCAGGGAGGGGACACAGAAACAAGAGGCCACAATTAGAAGTTGAAGACACAAATGAGTCAGAGAGATAGTAGGAAGTATTTCTTCAGTCATAGAGTTGTAAGGCAGTGGAATAGCCTAGAAAATGACGTAGTGGAGGCAGGAACCATACACAGTTTTAAGACGAGGTTTGATAAAGCTCATGGAGCGGGGAGAGAGAGGGTCTAGTAGCAACCGGTGAAGAGGCGGGGCCAGGAGCTAGGACTCGACCCCTGCAACCACAAATAGGTGAGTACAAATAGGTGAGTACACTTTAGTTTAATATCTTTATTATGCACCCCATACCCATCCTGTGGGCGGTAGTCAAAAGATTACAAAGGTACATCAAGAAAGTCAGTGCGTCATCGAGGACTGTCTAACTTATTTCCATTGGGGTCCTTAATCTTGTCCCCCAGGATGCGACTCACACCAGTCGACTAACACCCAGGTACCTATTTGCTGCTAGGTGAACAGGACAACAGGTGTAAGGAAACGTGTCGAATGTTTCCACTCGCCGGGAATCGAACCCGGGCCCTCCGTGTGTGAAGCGGGAGCTTTAGCCACCAGGCCACCGGGAACTTAACCTGATGACACGGGAGGACAAGACTAAGGGAGATATGATAACGACGTACAAAATAATGAGATGAATTGATAAGATGAACAGGGACGGAATGTTTCAAACATGAGAAATAAGAACAAGAGGGCACAGCTCTTAGTTGAAAACTCAAATGAGTCATAGGGATATTAGGAAGTATTTCTTCAGCCCTAGAGTTGTCAGGAAGTGGAACAGTCGAAAAATGAAGTGGCAGAGGCGGGATCCATACATAGCTTTAAGATGTACGAAAAGGCTCTCGTAGCCGGGAGAAAGTGGATCTAGTAGCGACTAGCGAAAAGGCGGGGCCCAGTAGCTATGATCCAATGGAAATGAATGGTATAAAATACCGACACAATGGCAATATAAACACAAATGCAGTATAATGTGATCCTTTATTGACTACGTTTCGCCCACACAGTGGGCTTTTTCAAGTCACAAACAGAACTACCTGGGGTGGAAGGAACGCGAGTATTTATAGTCCGGCTGAGGTCAGGTGAAGAATGCTGCATCTGATGATGTACCGAGTTGGGTTGTAGAGTCTAAAAACTTGGGTAGCTTGGAAAGGAGACTGGACAAGTTTGTGAGCAGACCTTCTACAGTGTTCTTATGTGGGATAGCGATGAAGAAGTTTCTTGGCAAGTGGTTCAGCTATGTTATAGAAGCCATATTCTGGTTGAAGTTGTCGGATATAGAAATAAGTGATGATTCCAGGATTCTTCGGTATTGAGTGTTGTCTTCTGTGGCGATAAGTCTTGAGTTTCTGTAGTTTATCAAGTGGTTGTGTGAATTACGGTGTTGTACGCAGGCATTCCTTGTGTCGGTCAGGACCTGCTTGCTTTATTGGTGTTCTGAAATACGTGTTTGGAGGTCCCTTGATGTTTCGCCCACGTATAACTTGTTGCAGTCATTACAAGGGATTATGTATACCCCTGCAGGGGATGGAGGCTTGTCCTGCCTACTACTGGTGATGTCCTTGATGGTCGTGGTTGTGGAGGTAGATACTTGGAATGATGTTTTGGCAAAGATGTTGAACATGTTTGGCAATGGAGTGGTGGGAAGGACTATGTATCTCTTCTCGGCAGTGTCTTCTCTGGGTGTGTTGAAGATGTTTAGTGCTCGCCGTCTGCAGTCTCTGATGAAGTGACGAGGATAGTGGAGTTTGGAAAATACCTGTTCAATTATAGTGCATTCTTCCTCAAGGAACTCGTTGCTGCAGATTCTGAGTGCACGCGGGAAAGAAGCCTATAATTACACCACGTTTGGTTTTGGTGTCGTGGTGAGAGTAGAAGTGGAGAAGATCGTTTTGGTTGGTGGGTTTTCGATAGACTTTAAAACGAAGTTCGTGGTCAGCTTTGCAGAGTAGAACATCAAGGAAAGGAAGAGTGTTGTCGACCTCTTCTTCAAGTGTGAACTGGATTGAAGGCTCGACCTGGTTGAGCTTGTCTTGGAGAGCTTGAACGTTGAAGCGTTTAGGAGTTATGACGAGAATGTCGTCAACATAACGGAGCCAGGTGACAGACGAAGGAATAATGGTGGAGAAACGTTCGGCTTCTAGATGTTCCATGTATAGGTTCGCTAGGACTGCACTGAGTGGCGAACCCATGGGTAGTCCAAAAGTCTGCTGAAAGAGGTGATTTTCAAAAGAGAAACACGTAAAGCCAACACATAGTTCAACCAGGTCGATGAAGTCGCTGGCTGGAATGGGATCAGGTGATCTTCTCAATCGCATTCGCAACATCAACATCAGGAACAAGAAACTTTCCAGCCTTGACGTGACTTCCCTATTCACTAAAGTACCTACTAAACAAGCCATCGATCTCTTGCGCAAGAAAATTGACGATTCACTTGATCTTCCCATTCCAGCCAGCGACTTCATCGACCTGGTTGAACTATGTGTTGGCTTTACGTGTTTCCTTTTGAAATTTACCTCTTTCAGCAGACTTTTGGACTACCCATGGGGTTCGCCACTCAGTGCGTCCTAGCGAACCTATACATGGAACATCTAGAAGCCGAACGTTTCTCCACCATTATTCCTTCGTCTGTCACCTGGCTCCGTTATGTTGACGACATTCTCGTCATAACTCCTAAACGCTTCAACGTTCAAGCTCTCCAAGACAAGCTCAACCAGGTCGAGCCTTCAATCCAGTTCACACTTGAAGAAGAGGTCGACAACACTCTTCCTTTCCTTGATGTTCTACTCTGCAAAGCTGACCACGAACTTCGTTTTAAAGTCTATCGAAAACCCACCAACCAAAACGATCTTCTCCACTTCTACTCTCACCACGACACCAAAACCAAACGTGGTGTAATTATAGGCTTCTTCCTGCGTGCACTCAGAATTCTGCAGCAACGAGTTCCTTGAGGAAGAATGCACTATAATTGAACAGGTATTTTCCAAACTCCACTATCCTCGTCACTTCATCAGAGACTGCAGACGGCGAGCACTAAACATCTTCAACAACACCCAGAGAAGACACTGCCGAGAAGAGATACATAGTCCTTCCCACCAACTCCATTGCCAAACATGTTTCCAACATCTTTGCCAAAACATCATTCCCAAGTATCTACCTCCACAACCACGACCATCAAGGACATCACCAGTAGTAGGCAGGACAAGCCTCCATCCCCTGCAGGGGTATACATAATCCCTTGTAATGACTGCAACAAGTTATACGTGGGCGAAACATCAAGGGACCTCCAAACACGTATTTCAGAACACCAATACGCAAGCAGGTCTGACGACACAAGGAATGCCTGCGTACAACACCGTAATTCACACAACCACTTGATAAACTACAGAAACTCAAGACTTATCGCCACAGAAGACAACACTCAATACCGAAGAATCCTGGAATCATCACTTATTTCTATATCCGACAACTTCAACCAGAATAGTGGCTTCTATAACATAGCTGAACCACTTGCCAAGAAACTTCTTCATCGCTATCCCACATAAGAACACTGTAGAAGGTCTGCTCACAAACTTGTCCAGTCTCCTTTCCAAGCTACCCAAGTTTTTAGACTCTACAACCCAACTCGGTACATCATCAGATGCAGCATTCTTCACCTGACCTCAGCCGGACTATAAATACTCGCGTTCCTTCCACCCCAGGTAGTTCTGTTTGTGACTTGAAAAAGCCCACTGTGTGGGCGAAACGTAGTCAATAAAGGATCACATTATACTGCATTTGTGTTTATATTGCCAGCTATGATCCAACCCCTGCAACCACATATAGGTGAGTGCGCACACACATTGTACACTACAAATTCCGAAGCGTCTTCGTCTAAATTATAATATTCATGTGCAAGTGCTAAAAGAAAAAAAACTGAAAGATTCACTCTTACAGTACCTGAATGGGCTACTTATACTACTCTTAATTTCTAAAAGGGTGGACCGGCAAGCCAATGGAAGATCTCGATCTGATGACCATAAGCTCCAGTGGCGGGTCACCATGTGACTAAAACCCTTGTCTTGTTTCCTGACAAACCTTACCTAACCTAACCTGATTGGGAGGTGGGTAACCCTAGTTTGATCCGAAGAGAACCGTAGCTCAAGTTCACTGAATCGAGAGCTCATTACAAGCATCAAGGCACCGTCTTGAAGCTCACTCAGGTCTCCCTGCTAACCAATATCATATGGTGAGCTGGAATGACAGAGTTGAACATTACGAAGGTTACAGGTCAAGTTAACATTTAAATGAACATCTGGTTACATCACATAAACCCATGAGTTGTGAGAAACGTTATATGGCACATTATTTATATATGAAACTTCTAGTAATAAACATACAGAAGTATATAAATGATAAACAACAATTGAAATAAAGTAACTGATCAAGAGCAAGGTATACCTATCAACAACTTTTAAAAAACCAATGTGCTGGTAGACATCACATTCCACTGAAAATTCATCCTCAGGATACATCTATATATATAAACCTTGAAATAAATATATAGTGGACACCTAGAGACTCCCAAATAATAAGTTTTCTATATACTGGTAGCGCTTGATTATATATTGATACAACTCAAGATGCTTTTTTGTTTTAAGTTTTGCCGATTGTGTTCGTCTCTCATTGTTGATAGTGTGGCTGTCCTCAAACATCATGGCGGACAGTAATGTGGAATTTTATTTGTAAATCACATTTTTTTCGACGAAGGTAGTCGTAGGACGCTTGTAAAAATGGATGCTGTAAAGTCCTTCAACACAGAGGTGAGTCGAGAGATGTTGGTTTAGGTAGTTGGGCTTGTGTAAGGTGGAGGATGAGAGCATTACGGGGAGTCCGGTCCTCAGCGTCTGTGACTGATGCCAATGAATGGTTTCTTTTAACATACCTTCCCAACTTTTCTCTATACCTTTCCACACTGCATCTTCTCTCCCCCAGTTTGGGTCTTCATGGGACTTTTCAAATCTTCCAAAATAACTGCAGAGGTGGAGTGTTCAAGGGCGTGAATGTTATTTACTTCGGGGTTGTACTGTGACATGTGCCATTCTGGCCGGGAAGTTGTACTCTTAGGAAGTAGGACACGTAATTATTAAAATTAAGATAAAGTTGTATACAGAGGGATACGACTTTATATTCCCCTTGAGGGAGGTGCCTTGATGGCTGACGGATAATAAGTCACAGGTAAAATATAAGTCACCGAAATATGAAGTAAAAAAAAAAAAATCACAGCGAATTTGATGAATTTAAGCCATGTTAGAAAAAAGTTAGGTTAGAGTAGTTTAACTTAATTTTGAAGACACTAGTTTCTGTTAGGTTAGGTGATGCTAGATTAGGTTAGGTTAAGTTAGGTTGTTTGGTTAGATTAGCTTGGGTTAGGTAATGTTGGATAAAGTTAGCTTAGTCTAGGTTTGGTTGGGTAACTTTTTTTATTTTTTTTTTTTTGTATTTGTACATGTAGCTATCTCAGATTCACAGCCACATCAATTTCAGACAATTTAGCTCAAAAAAAAAAAAATGCTGGCATGGCTATCGGCTGGGTTCTAGGGGTGTTGACTCCCGGAACACCCTCCAGACATACTCCCTTCAGATATTAAGGGAGACATAGGAATAAAGTACATATCTGCCCAAAGTTCTCATTCCCCCACATCTAGAACACTGGTGCTCAAACCTTTCAGAGTAAAAAAAGACATCCAAGATGGAAAACCTACAAATAACTTTCACTGTTTGCATCAAATCAGTTAAACAGATTACATAACCTAATGTAAGGTAACATTAAATAATTATTCGCATATTAACTGTTGATGGTTAAAGCATGTGGTATTGCATCAAAGTAGTGCTGTGGTGTTGTGAGGCTGCAACCAGTGACCTAGTCGCCCAATGCTGAGTCGTTGGTTCGCTTCATCACGTAGCTGTGTTCCTAAACATATTATGACCAATATCTTGATAAATAACAGTTTGCACAACACATAACTGTGCTTCCAGTGATATGAATAGGCAGTTTAGTTGTTTATATTATGAAATATTCATTGTTTTCTGTATCATGTGGCTTAATTCTTAAAATTAAAATTGTGGCTAAGATTTCAATGAATAACAAAATAATAATAAGCCAACTGATAAGTGTGTTTCCTATGTTATAGATTTCATCGGTGGTAAGAATACTGTGTAATGTTGATGGAATTTTGGTCTGGAAATAATGACATCTTTTGTGTTGAATTTTTTTATAATACAACCACTTTGTATCATTGTAAAGACTAATAAAAAAAATTATGGATATTTTAATGTATTTTAAAATTATAATCTGAAAAATATACAGTACAGTACAAATTGCATATGTGGACAGTGATATTATACTTCCCTTGGTTGCCCTTAAGTGATTATTTTACTATTAAGTTACTGTTCATTAATTTGTACAGTACATTACTGTATAGTGTAAGGAATGATTTTGCTTGTTGTTGGCAGTGTCTTAATTAAATATTGTGAATTTTGTCTAATGACTTGTTTATCTTTTGCAGCTTGCGGGGCTCTATGAGTGCAAGCCCCCAATATCGAAGGCAAAGATGACTGCAATTACAAAGGGCGCTATAAGAGCCATCAAGTTTTATAAACACGTGGTCCAGAGTGTAGAGAAGTTCATTCAAAAGGTATTTTTTTTTTATTAGAATAATGCTTTTCCAATATTTTTTTCCTAAAATTAGTTCATAATATTAGCTGTAAAACTTACAGGCTTACATTATTTATACTCCATTTTTATATACTATGTATATTCATATTATTATTGTAGGCTATATGGTATTGTATTCTTGTAAAACTCATTTTTCCCTTTTATATCTTACTAAGATTAGCACTTTCTTAGATTATAATATCTTATTAAGAATAGAAAACAAATGATTTTTTATGTAATGTATTAGGCTTTTACATTAATGCAACCCTTTAGATTATTTTCACAAACACATTTCAAAAGTTACCCTTTACATAATGTATGGGAGGTAAAAGATGCACATGTCTCTCTTACAACTGGTTGGTATCATGATATGAGTTCCACCTTAATCCCAGATATATTTACCAATACAGTGGAACCTTGATTTATGAGTATCCCAACGTACAAGTTTTTTGAGATTCGAGCTGTACCTCGGTCGATTTTTTGCTCTGAGTTATGAGCCAACATTTGAGTTACGAGCCAGCTCTTCCCCCTCCCCGCTTCCCTCTCAACCTAAAACCTGGACACCTCGCTTGTTTATCTATGATTTCATGCTTTAATTCCACGGAAATCATTCTCTTTTTATTCTCAGCACTGTCCTTTACACTTATTTTCTTAGGCCCCATGCTTAGAAAAACGAAATTTGGCCAAATGACTGTCAAAAATGTAAACAAAGCATGAGAAAACTGCTCCCACAGCGAGGTAAACAGTGAACTGAGTTGGCGGTGTTCGTTATTATAATAATAATTATTATTATTAGTGTTATTATTATTAATTTAGGTAACTAGAGCACAGATCAAAATCCCTAGATCAAGAGCCCCACACCAGTGTCAAGGTTCCTTGATGCTGATGAGGGACTCTTGTTCTAGGGAATTGTATCTGTGCTCCAGTTCCCTAACTTAATAATAATAATAGTCATAATAATAATAGTAATAATAATAATAATAATAATAATAATAATAATAATATAATGATAGAGCTTCAGTTCCCTAAATTAATAATAATTATCAAAATAATAATAATAGTATAAAAATAATAATTTTTTTTTTCAACAAGTTGGCCGTCTCCCACCGAGGCAGGGTGACTCAAAGAGAAAGAAAATCCCCAAAAAGAAAATACTTTCATCATCATTCAACACATTCGCCTCACTCACACGTAATCACTGTTTTTGCAGAGGCGCTCAGAACACAACAGTTTAGAAGCATATACGTATAAAGATACACAACATATCCCTCCAAACTGCTAATAATAATATAATAATATAATATAATAATAATATTATAATAATAATAATAATATATAATATAATATTATTATTATTGATAAATTAGACATACGTGCAACTCTTGGGTATTTTTACTGAGGAATCGTTTTGCCACACATTGGCTTCATCAGTCCATACAAAGGAGAATGTTGAAGAACAGGAGGAGTTTGAGGTAATCAGTCCTTCAGCCTTGAGTCGATGTGGTCAGTCCATCAATCTTGAAAAGAATACAGCATGTCTGCGGAGAAGTAGCTCATTTACAGTAGGCAGGAGAGGTGAAGCAGTTGTAGGAGGTATAACATTTGACCAATGTGGAAGTAGGTCATGCCCAAGGGTTAGGCAAGTGAAGAATTCCCAAGTATTAAAATCCCAAGAAATTGCAGAGCCAGACAGGATTGTAGATGAATGGTTCAGAGAACCGACATGTTGATAAATTAGACGTATGTGCAAAATGTGAAAATTCTTTCCTAATCTAATAAGCACGTATAAAAAAGGTAGACATAAGCTTAAGCCAACAAGTGGTTATTGAAGACATTTATTATATGATGTTTCACCCATTGTGAGTGAAATACCATATAATATAGGTTTTCCATTCTGTAAGTGTCACCTAAATTGCTACATGTAAACATGTTGGAATACACAAACAAGACTGATTTCTGGTACTATTACCTAGAAATGTGTAATGTTTCACCTGAGGAAGGTAATGCTATGACCTAAGATGTCCAGATTTTTGTGTGAAAAAATATAATGTTACATATGCAATAGGCTAAAAAAATAAGTAAAATACTGTATACCTGTATATGAAAAATTAAAATACAGTGGACCCCCGCCATACGATGGCATCGCGTTGCGTTAAATCCGCTATACGATACATTTTAATGCAAAAATTTTGCCTCGCCTCACAATAAAAAACTTGCCCAACGTTATTCCTCCCAAACCTGTCTGTCCAGCCTGTGCACATCAGCTGGATTGCCATCATTGTTTACAAGCCAGGGTGGCCAGTTGCATGCATACATTCGATACATTTTGTATTCCATTGTTTATAGTGCTTGTAACTTCTAAATAAGCCAATATGTGCCCAAAGAAAACTTTTAGTGCCAACCCTGTGGTAAAAAGGGTGAGAAATACTATCGTACCATAGTCAGCTGCTGCTGCACCATGGTCTGGTCAGCTGTTGCTGCACCACAGCTGCCGCTGCACCACCATCAGCTGCTGCTGCTGCACCACTGTCAGCTGTTGCTGCACCATGGTCAGCTGCTGCTGCACCACAGTCAGCTGTTGCTGAACCACAGTCAGCTGCTGCTGCACCACAGTCAGCTGCTGCTGCACCACAGTCAGCTGTTGCTGCACCACAGCTCCCCTCAGGGAAGGTTCCTTGATGTTTGTGAGGGGCTCTTGATTTAGGGAATTGGATCTGTGCTCCAGTTCTCCGAATTAAGCCTGAATGCCTTCCACATCCCCCCCCAGGCGCTGTACAATCCAATGAGTTTAGCGCTTCCCCTTGAATATAATAATAAAGCACCACAGCTGTTGCTGCACCATGGTCAGCTGTTGCTGGACCAGTCAGCTGTTGCTGCTGCTGCACCACTTAGCTGTTGCTCCACCACGGTCAGCTGTTGCTGCACCACGTGTGGCTTAACGGGAAACAATTACCGAGAAACGATTAACCCCAGAGGGTTAGCCACCCAGGATAACCCAAGAAAGTCAATGCATCATCGAGGACTGTCTAACTTATTTCTATTGGGGTCCTTAATCTTGTCCCCCAGGATGCGACCCACAACAGTTGACTAACACCCAGGTGAACAGGAAAAAATGCCTGGAACTAGTGCTCATATTGGTGAATTTAAGGCCAGCAAAGGTTGGTTTGAGAGTTTTAAGAATTATAGTGGCATACACAGTGTGATAAGGCATGGTGAAGCTGAAAAATTCCAACCCCAACAAGTGTTCAATTGTGACGAAACAGGCCAGTTCTGGAAGACAATGCCAAACAGGACCTACATTACCAGGGGGGAAAAGGGCACTCCCAGGACAAAGCCTGTGAAAGACGGGCAAATCTATGTTTTGTTGTAATGAATGGGGGATTGCAAAGTAAAACTTTTACTCTTGTATATCTAAAAAGTCCCATGTTAAAGAAAAAGTGTCTCATCACCGTCAATACTCTTAAAAGGAAAGTGTCTTTTTAACATTTATTTATGTAGTTTTTGTGATTTTCCATTTTTTTTCTTTGTAGAAATGTAATTTCAAAAAAAAAAAATTTAAATACTTTGGGGTGTCTTAAACGGGAAATTTGATTTCTTTTACATTATTTTTTATGGGGAAAAATTTAAATTCGTCTTACAAATTTTTCGGCTACAATGAGCCTCAGGAACGGATTAAATCTAAGGGGGGTCCACGTGTAAGAAATGAATACAGTAGAGCAAAAGAGCAAAAAGCAAATAGGGAAGGCACCAAAAAAATGAACCATAAATTGAAACATAGAAATGGGAATTTACACATACAGTACCTGTTGTAAAAAGGCTTCACCCACGCTCTTGGGCAACTGCAATACAGTGGCCCCTCGGCCAGAAGGCTCATCTAACGAAAAATTCTTTCCAAAAAAGCTTTTGAGCGTAAAAATTTTGGCCCGACCAACGAGAAAAACTCGACCAGATGATTCTCCAAACCTGTCCGCCAGCCTGACCCCTCAGCTGTCCTGCCTATTGTTTAAAACCGGGGTTGGACAGTTCCTGCTATTTCAAAAATTTTGCATTATTTCATTGTTTTTAGTGCTTTAATGCTAAATAACCACCAGGGCCCCCAAAGAAAGCTTCTATCCCAACCCTGTGGTAAAAGGGGTGAGAAATGCTATCGAAATACTGCGTCCCAGGGTCAGTGCCCCCCCGCCCCCACAGTCAGCTGGCCGCTGCCCACTTTAGCTTTTGCTCACCATAACTTTCACTCGAAGATGTGGGAAGTGTTTTTGGTGTGGATAACGAAAAAAACAATTTAAACCCCAGGGGTTTTAGCCACCCAGGAAAACCCCCAAAAAAAGTGGGTGCATCATCGAGGACTGCTAATTTATTCCAGGGGGTCCTTAACCCTTTCAGGTCCAAGGCCAAAATCTGAAGTGGTGCCCCCTGCCCAAGAAATTTTAAAAAAAAAAAAAATTTTTTTTCTTACAAAATTAAAAAAGCATATTTTGTAAAGGGAAAATAAGACAAAAAAAAAAATCTGATCAGTATTCCCGAGAACATGCCAAGATTTTGTAAAATGAGTGGCGGCGGCAACATCGACGAATTTCCCACATCCCGGCTTTAAATTTAAATTTGTGGTTTTTAGTTGTTTTTTTTTTTTTTTTCCAAATTTTTTTTTTCTTTTTCCTACTAACTTTTGGGGCCTGAGAGCCCAAATACTGTATAAAGATAAATAAACTCACTGTTTTGAACAAAAAAACCCGCACTAAAGTTATTATCATATTTTTGTTTCCTCTGTTTTATTAAAATAAACGCAAAAAATTTTAAAAAACAATGTTCTATCTTATTTACATATTTACAATCACGGACGGGTTTTAGAACTGCTGGAGCTTGGGAATCCTTAAAACAAGGCACATGCACAGGGGGCACCTTACATTCCCACACAAAAACCCGGTTCTTTGCGTCTTTGTTCCCGTTGTTTTTTTTGTGCACAGACAATGCATCTCTTCTGACAAATTTTTTCGGGGTTAAGGAAGCTGTATTATAAAAAATGACCCCACCTTCCCCCTCAAACGCTTGGGTTACCGAGGAATTCGGGACCATGTTGAATGGGGTGTTGTTCCTTTTGGGTTCATTAGAATTGCTGACAACAGAAAAAAAAAAATTTCACCATCGGTGGTCTTTGCCGTCTTTTTTGGTTTTTAAAATTGCAGAGCATTAAAAATGTCCATGAGATGAAGTAAAGTTTCATTACCACTTGTAATTTTAAAACACAGCAACAAAACCAATCGCGCACACTTGTAAACCCAAAGGGCCTTTTTGGGGGTTAAAAATCAATCATGACACTGTTTTCGAATACGTTCATTATCACCGTCAACTTTGCCACGTTTTGCATTTCATTCGGTGAAGGTTGTCAACAATGTGACATCTCTTTTGTCATCCCCCGAAATGCCATGATGTCATTGGCAGTAAACACCTGCACGTACCCCCACCCCGTTGGCCCTGGCAATTTTAGTTTAGAAGCACTGTGCCCACCATCTGCTTGTTCACTCGCATAAAAACTGAGTAAGGGCTGTGACCAGTTTTGGGTTAATTAATGTATGCCCCTTTTCCGAAAAGGGTGCCACATGTTTCTCACTACGTCACCTGAGATCCCCAATAACATCTTGTATTTTAAATGTTTTACTCCCCGTTATACAACAATATCCAACACCGGCCACTGTAAAATCAAGAGCACAAACAGTTTTATACCAAAGTTTTTCCCTTTTGCCCCGGTATATACGCTTGAATGACAGTCTCCCTTTGAACAAAATCAAAGACTGTAAATTTTACAGATTCTTGAAAGGGATAAAAGTAAAACTAAACTTTTGTTTGAGATAATAAAAACATTTCTAATCTTGTTAACCTGTCACTTCGTCGGGCCGGGTTTTTGTCAGAAAGTGCAACATACTAAGAGTAAGAAAACCTGTTCCTGGTTGATTTCACGAAGCCCGGGGTAAAAATTTAGCCGATCGGGACCGTTGCTTTTATATTATGCTTAAACGTAGGCAAAGCATTATTGTTGCAAAAAGCAAAAACATTTCTGCAAAGTCTCTCTTTTCCCCCAGTGTAGTTTAACGTGGTGATAAGATCGATTTTCCATGGTGTACTCAAAATACTTATTACTTTCCCTGACAATAATTTCCTCAAAGGCTGGTCAAAGAAAATTCAAAGAATTCCAGTTTATTTGGGCCCTGGTTCCAAGGGGGCAAGTAGGTAGAATCCACTTTGAGAATCACAAAGTGGTGAGGCTTGGGAACAAAAAGGGATTTTTTCGCCAAATTTCCCCCTACTTTTTTGGGGTACTGGGCCCCAAAAGGTGGTTGTGCGGGTGGTTGTGGGTTTTGGTGGGGTGGGGGCGGGGCTCCGCTTTTTCCTTGAATGACAGTCAGACGTGGGGCCCCCCCGTGGCCTGGCAGTCACCATGGCGGGGCCACTACCATCACCACTAAACCCTCCCCTGTGCCTGTGGTTTTCCATGCCCAGTGTACCACACATCTCACTACATACCTAAAAAATGGTGTTGGGCCCCGGGATTACTTGGGGTGTATCCCTCCCCGGGGAAGCATAGGACACTACCCCAGCGCATCGGCGGCGAACATACCCCGCTTCCTGGTGAATATATTCCCCACTATACTACTCGATTGATTCGAGTGCAAAAAAATACAGTCCACATCACTATATCATCATTACGAAGTCAAGCCTGGCCCCGAGAAAATATAGTTTTTCCTTGGATGAGGAACAACCCCCGGGTCACGAGTGCCCCCACCAGAGGTGAAGGTTAGGATCGTCAGGGTTTTCTGCATATTACGATACCTGGTCATTTTTTCGGTCACTAATGATCAAAGCCTAGAATTCGTCTTTATTTTTCCCCTTCCTCAGGTAGAACTATCAGAAGGAAAGGGGGTCCCCCAATTTTTGGGGATGAGGTGCTTGCGACGAGGGTGGTGAACAAGGGTAAATGGCCCGGGGTTCCCAAATTACGGGGCCCTAGATTTTTTGTTTTTAACACCCACCACGCAGACCCTTTTCTCACATGAGGCATGAGCGTTTTTCCCTGAATTTTATGGCCAGAATTTTTGGGTAGTCTACGGTTTGGACACTCAACAAAAACCCTTGATCAAGGGACGGCCCTGAAAGGGTTAAACTTTTACCCCAGGGCACCCACACCAGCGACTAACACCCAGGGGGAGCAGGAAAAAAAAGACTAGAAAAAAGTGTCATATTGGTGAAAAATTTAAAGGGCCCGCAAAGGTTTGGAGAGTTAAGAATGATTGGTAACAATTGATAAGGCATGGGTGAAGCTAAAAATTCCAACCCCCAAAAAGTGTTCAGTTTTGCGACAAAAAAGGCCGTTCTGCAAGAAAATGCCTAACAAACCTACATTACTTAGAGGAAAAGGCACTCCCGGACCAACCATGAAAGACAGGTAACCTCAGTTTTGTTGTAATGCAGGGGGATTTCAAAGTGAACCTTTACTTGTTACGAAAATCCCAGAGTGTTCAAGAAAAAAGTACTCACCCTTCAAAACTTTTTAAAAAAAGGTAAGTGCCATTTTAACATTTTTATGTATTATTGTGCAGTCTCATAGCTTTCTTTGTAGGGAAAAGTTTTTTTTCATGAAAAAAAAAAATTTTTTTTAAACTTTTGGCTGTTGGACGGTTAAATTGATTTCCATTATTTCTTAGGGGAAAATTAATTTTACTAACGATAAATTTGCCTAAAGATAACTTCTGGAAAGGGGTTAATATCGTTTGGGGAGGGCCCCGTACTCAAATAAAGGGGCTGGCACAGTTTTAAAAATTTAGAATTGAAAGGAACACAGAAACCCTTTTTTAAAACTTTACATTCAAAAAGCCAAAATATGTTTCCAAAAAAACTATCCCTAGTAATTTTTTTTTCAGTGCAAAACCGGTACAAGACCCAGGGTATGAAATGCGCATAGGCGTCAAAAACGACACCATTGGCATTGAGAAAGTGATTTTCTCCTAGGTTTTGGGGAAAGCATCCTGTAACTTTTTTCTACTTGTTAAATGTCCCCAGGAGATAAGGGTTGTTAATGCTTGTGTGGTCACTTGGCCCTGGAGTGGGAAAGGGTTGATTTTTGCTTGCTAATTTTCTGCCTAGACTAGATCGTCAGGGCATTTTTGATTGCTTGCAAAAATAAAATTTTAAATAATATTAAGTTTCCAAAAAAATTTTAATTATCATTTTTGTCTTTTTGTAGGAAAAGTACACAAATACCAAAAATTTAAAATACAGTAAGGTTTCAGAGTAAATCTTGTGTGTTGAATTTTGGAGAAGAAAAGTTTTTTCGAAGAATGTTTTTCGCCCCTTTTTTTGATTTGGCGATCCCCCACCCCATTCAAAAGGGAAGTGGGGAATCCCTTTAACGGCATCTAAGGCTAAGGTTAGCATCCTAGCCAAGAACCTCAACAAGGAACCCCAGCAACAGCTGGGGGAGGGGTGGGGATGGCCGTGGGGGGGGGTGGTAGCGTGGCAACACAAATGGTGGTTTGGGGGTGGGTGGTTGGGGGCGGTGGTGGGGTGACATGATGGAAGAGGAGACAGTCAAATGAACAAACTGCAATGCATGCCACAAAAAGTGGATGATGAGTGCAAACTGTACATTTAGTGAACCAACAGGGATTAAGCATTCTATCTTTCCTTTTTTTAAACACCCCAACTTTTTTTTTTGTTGTTTATGTGGGGGTGTGCGAAGAAAAAAGCTTTATTGGACAAAAATTTTGATTTTAAGATCTTGACACAAAAAAAAAATTTT